TATGAAGACAAGAAAGGTGACCAGCTGCAATCCTACCTAGCTTTTATAGCCTAGCTATATCCACTTAGTAGGACATCTCATCAATATCTAAATGGCTAAATGTTTGCTCAAAAGTTAAGTAAGTGGGTGTGGATAAAGCGTGAAACGGATGCAATTGAGACCGAACAGTTGCATCCTCCCGTAAAACATGTATACCTTTGATCATGCAATGTTACATCATGTGATTGCGTTTCATCACACTTTTACTGTGCAATTTGACCAAATTGGACCATAAGAAGTAGATAGGCTTTGAGCCGGTCATCTTTCTTGCTTAGCTGTTTTTGGTAAATTAGCGTAAAGCGAGATGTACTACTCTGACGATGTCCGTCACATGATAGACGAAAGCTCGGCAAGGATTCATCGGGGTCGCAGAGCGGTGCGCCGAAGACCAATTCACACAAATCCACAACCACAGTTTCCGGTGAGACCAATAAATGAATCAGAACTACTCGCCTCTTCAAACTAAACGAAAGACAGTGAGTTGAGCAACTTGGTCTTGTGTTCAGGGAGACTATGTAGAACGCATCGAGTCCGAAGTCGTCTGCCATAGTAGTTGTCTTGATTTCCAGCATCCGACCGTGGACTTGATACATTCTCCGACGTTTCGCCGGCATCGTAGTCGGCATCATCAGTGAGTTTTGCCATTCGCCGCACCAAGCTACGAACTCGTTTTCGCCGGCATCGTAGTCGGCATCATCAGTGAGTTTTGCCATTCGCCGCACCAAGCTACGAACTCGTCAAAGAGAAAAGTGAAGCCAATCCCTCGACAAACCTCGTAGTCGGCATCATCAGTGAGCCTTGCCATTCTCCGCACCAAGATACGAACTCGTCAAAGAGACAAATGAAGTCATCGTAGTCGGCATCATCAGTGAGCCTTGCCATTCTCCACACCAAGATACGAACTCGTCAAAGAGACAAGTCTTTGTCTCTGAGAATGTATCAAGTCCACTGTCAGATGCTGGGAATCAAGACAATTACTATGGCAGACGACTTCGGACTCGGTGTGTTCTACATAGTCTCCCTGAACACAAGACCAAGTTGAGACTACGAGGTCAACTCACTTCTATAAGTCGAAAGGAGACTGCGACCATACCCGAGGCTACAACATCTTGGTCTTTACATCTTTAAACGAAAGACACTCCAACATCAATCTATTAAGGGAGTCTCTAAAATCCTGTTTTTCTACATTCACACGTTTTCTTTGTAGTCACTTCCAGCATAATTGTGATTTGAGAGGCATGGCTTACCTTAAAGGTCACACCTACCCTGTCACCCAGTAGCACCCGTTTCTGTATTGCAGAGCCCTAAAGTGGCTTAGACACCAAATACACAAATTCGGATACTGCTGGGAACGAGGCCTGAATAAGAAAAGTTTTCGAAAGGCAAGTCAAAGTGGATTTCAATGGAATAACTAGTCCTATTTACATCATTGTGGGTTTAATCTCTTTTCACTTCTAAGCCATGCTTAAACGGTGTATGGTGACTAAATTCTATCATAATAGCTGTATTCAACCTATTTCGTTGAACGTGATAAAAGACTGATAGTTGAAGCTTTCCACCATCTTATAAGTAGGCAACATGTTTCTAGTGAAATCCACATAGCCCTACTTAACAAAATGTATTATCATCTATGATGGAGTGGACTACGGTTTCGAGCTAGACCGGTTCGTAACGTCACATCCAGCCGGACTCGAACCCGAGTTGTGATCGAGCAGCTTAAACTCTTTACACGCTAACCACTACGCCACACATCTCCAAGTGCAGAAGGGAATAGCAAAAGTTCGAGTCCCACTGGGGGTGCCAGTTGAAGCTGCAGTCCAGTCTAACCTGGCTGAGAATACCTTTTGGTAAGCAAAGCTATGTGAAATTCAATAGAAACATGAAGCCTTCTTACATCATTGTGGGAAAATTTTAACGAATAATCTTTCATTAGGTTGAACGAAATAGGGTGAACATCTTTCATATATATGAATAACTGTTAGTCAGTGCAACAACGATCAGCTATTTCTCTTAATCCCCTTTCGATAGAACCAAGAATCTCTGCCATATTGCGGGAAATTTGTTAAGAAGTGTTGTTCCATACTGATTCATATTGGCTATGAAAGAGAGACTAAAGATGAGAAGAAATGTCTCAAATTTCCTAGATTTAAATAACAACCAAGATCTGAGCGGTATTGTTTTATTTTAAGCTTTCTCCTCAGGATTTAGGATAGACCATAATGAGCAAAGACATTGGGTTCATAATAAGGCTAATATAGTTCTTATTCAAGATCTTCTACTAGTCTCGAAAGCCCACTTAAGAACTGACAAATAAGTTATATAATGTTTTATATAAATTACTCCCGAAGAAATTATTAAATGGAATGAGAAGGGCTCTTTGATGAAAAGGAGGCTACTAATTATACAATCCATTTGGGTTGCGGACACGCCTGGAATTGGTCGTAATTGATACCCAATCAAGATGAGTAAGCATTTTCGTACGCACGGTGAAAAGGTACTGAATTGCATAGCAAGGACTTATATTTCCTTCGTAGATTTGAAGTAGATGTTTGTTTCGAAGAAGGCCCTGATTGATTGATATTGGCCTACCTTTCATTTCTTTTGAGGAGGTTTCACCTGAGGCCGAAGAAATAGTTGTGACTGTAGCTTCGTGCGCTACTATTATACTACTTTCATCTGCACAAATATTTTTTTAAAGTCCTCTTTTCCGTCCTGATGCCTAATTGGACTGGCTATATTTCGTTCCAAATGCTCATTAATTTCGCATCATAACGCCTCAGAGCCCTACTCATATCAACGTTATTCGGATCATACATGGTAAACATTGAGTCGAAAAATGCTATGCTTATCGGTTTCCATACAGTTAATCAAGTAATTTGGACTATCAAGTAAGTGAATTTAGGACAAGACAAACCCGGAGACGAAATCGGTCTGTAATTACGACACTGTGACGTTGTCAAGTTGATATTTCCATCCATAGTAGTGTTGTGAAGCTTTACTTTTTCTAAATTTAGCATTCTCAATCATGTGATCGAAAAATAGTCT